CCAACTCTTGGGCTACTTATTTACCAACGAATAGTGGGATTGACCGTCACATTATAACGCCCCCCACGGCTGAAAGGGCGAGCATGTTTGGTGTGACGGGGATTCGAACCCGCGACCCTCAGATTGCGAATCGATCGCCCTAACCACCTGGCCATGCCGGCCCTAGCAAGAAGGAAGCGCAGACCAGTTTTCTTTTACACACAGCGAGGAGAAAGCGCACACCGGTTTTTCGGTTACACACAGCGAGGAGAAAGTGCACACCGGTTTTTCAGTTACACACAGCGAGGAGAAACCGCACACCGGTTTTCTGTTACACACACAGCGAGGAGAAAGCGCACACCGGTTTTCTGTTACACACAATTAATAAGATATTTTGAAGTTAATGACAAGTATCAAATATTTTAATTCAATATTGGCTGAGTCAATTTTTCGTCATATCTAAACTATTTATGAAAAACGAATTTTCTAATCCGCGTTAATAATCTCCGGTTTCCCCATGATTCGGGACAAAATAAACAAAGTTAAATCCAAGGTAACCTAGAAAACTGGTGTGCGCTTTGTTATTGCTGTGTGTAACAGAAACCCGGTGTGCACTTTCTCCTTGCTGTGTGTAACAGAAACCCGGTGTGCACTTTCTCCTTGCTGTGTGTAACAGAAACCCGGTGTGCACTTTCTCCTTGCTGTGTGTAACAGAAACCCGGTGTGCACTTTCTCCTTGCTGTGTGTAACAGAAAACCGGTGTGCGCTTTTTTCCTCGCTGTGTGTAACAGAAAACCGGTGTGCACTTTTTTCCTCGCTGTGTGTAACAGAAACCCGGTGTGCACTTTCTCCTCGCTGTGTGTAACAGAAAACAGGTGTGCTCTTTTTCCTCGCTGTGTGTGTAACAGAAAACTGGTGTGCGGTTTCTCCTCGCTGTGTGTGTAACCGAAAAACCGGTGTGCGCTTTCTCCTCGCTGTGTGTGTAACCGAAAAATCGGTCTGCGCTTTCTCCTCGCTACATTAACTTCAAAATAATGTCAAGAAGTGTTCAATGTAACTGCGTTCTCTGCATTGGACAGCATGTTTTGTTGCTATGTGCTAGGTTGTCCAGAGTGGTCGGAAAACCTTACGTGTCTATACAGTAATTCACGTGAACAGTAAACGCTATTTGGACAAAGCACGCCGCAGTATTGATCTGTTTATGTGGAACTCGTGATAATTCTTTAGTTTTGATATGAAACACGCAAAATGCTAATATCCAAGAATTTCACATGGAGTTTAGTTTTTAAAGACAGATTTATTTATGTTTGTTTAAAGTTAAGCACAATGCTACACAACGAGCATCGAAACCGGTTTCTAGCTTTTTAGTACGCAGACTTACCGCATTGCCACTAGGGGATATTTATTTATGTAAGTACACAAAAACTCTCGTTTTGTATGTACATATTTACGAACACCAGAAAGTTATTTTTTTTTTAAATAAACAATTTTGTTATGTATATCGTTGTTTAAACCCATTATATTAAAAGGATTATTTATCTACTATATTTTAGCAAGATTAGAGAAATGAATAATTCGTTGTTGATGTAGTTTTTAAACGAACACACAATATATATTCCTTAAGTAATATTGGAAGTTGATAAATAAAAGTCCAGAATAAACATGTGGGTTGGAGGTTTTATTGTTAATTATAGCCTTGAGCTGTGATTATAGCTTCACAAAGAACATTTCGTTACTGACTGGGCCACGCGGTTTAAAAAAATCAATTCTGGCTTTATATTAAGTTTACTTATAGAAAATTGCTTTCGTTAGCGCAGTTAAAGTAAAAATGTGGCACGAGATGTGTAGATGTATCTTTGAAAGAATCACGTAGAGTCGATATAAATAAAAGTACTTATGAAATGATCTAATTAGCTGTAGGTCATGCTGACTATCAACATGTATATTATTTCATGTTTTTATGGAGAGACGTTTCATAAGTGTAAAATTGAAGAATTTACTTATACTAATGCACATGATACAGCAGAACATGTTAGAAATCTGTTTCATAAGTGTAAAATTGAAGAATTTATTTATACTAATGCACATGATACAGCAGAACATGTTAGAAATCTGTGAATGAAATTGGTTCATTTCTTAACTGCTGTCACTCTGTTAGAGTTATCTCTTCTTTCCTTTTTTTACTTAAGTTCTTCAGTGAAGAGTGTGACGGATTTATTATTATATTGATTTTAATATCGATGTTTGTTTAAATTTCATTTATATTTCTAAATGTACATAACGTATACAGGTATACTGTTAAATATATATTGCGAAACTCCCGCTTATTCT